AAGCTGTTGGGTAGCTGCCAGATGACCAGCTGTTCAAAGGGCTTGCAATAGGATTTCGAGCTTACCCACTTCCTAGGGCCAAAGGAATGGCTCTGTGTTGAGAGCACCTCAGGGTTGCTTCAGCCTTCCCTGGCATGAGTTTCAGGTGGTTTGTGCATCCACATCAGATAAGATGTTGGACCAGAGATTGTGGGAATGGGCTTTGTTGCTGATGTGGGTTTAAGTAGTAGGCTTACCAGTTTGTATTTCTTCCTTTGAAAACTTTTTCATGCTTTGTTCATAGAGTGTCTCTGGCTGCATAGTACTTTAACATCAGTTTTGTTGTTTATAAATAATCTGTTACCTCATTAGTCCTGAACAGCACAACTTGAAGCTGTCTTCATCACCTCAAAAACATCTTGCTACTAAGCTGATAAACCATCCTTCCCTTTGTGTGACATGAATGTTAAAATGTTGTAAACAAGTTTCCAAAGGATCAACAGCAATTTTTCGTGCAGGATATATTAATTTGTCTTGTAATATTCCTTTTATGTCAACTGCAATAATCTACTGTGCTTAAAGCATAAATATCTTTTCATGTGTGTTTGTCTGAAGTGACAGCAAGTTGCCAGAGATGTTATCAGACACAACATATGAGAATGAGTAACACCACTGCCTTATGACTGCAGCTATTTAAAAGGCAGGGAAAAATTGTCATTAGAAGCTGAATATTATTGCTAGGTTTGTCACACAGTATGTGCGTGTTTAGAGGGAATATGAAAAATAAAGTATTTCCATTTAGACCAGCACTTTCTGGAACACCACGGAGCAGTATCAGCTAGTAGTTTCTCTGTCATATAACACAAACATGGGCATATTGGGGGCAAAATACTGACTGCAGTTCCCTCTGCATACCCTGGGTTCTGTCTGATGGTGATGAATGAGCTCAGGACTGTGCTAAGTGCCTGAGTCTGTGGGTGTATATCTAGTTACAATTTAATTATTTTAACTGCATCTCTTCAACATTAGCATCACATTGTGCAGCTAGGGTCCAATTTAAAACCTGTAGCCAAAGAGTCCTGCAATGACTCATTGGTGAAGATCTTTGTGATAAATAACAGACCCTCCAGAGTCCTGAGCAGCAGGATGTCACACTGGCAGCCTGAACCATGATGGCACCTTTCATCTCAGCTTATGTCCCCTGGTATCTAAGTAGCAGCAGAAGTTTGGTGGAAGCTACAGTGCTTTTTCTAGCTATTCACCCAGGGGGATCCCAAGAGTCTTATTAGAGCTGCAAGCCAGTAGGAGAAAATAACAGCAAGGAAATTCTGGCTGGAGCCTTGGAGTCATACAGTCTACAGAATGATCTCAAAGTATGCAATATGGAATTCCTGCTGTGGGGAAATACAGGTGAACAGGTAGCTTCTGGTTTTGTATCACCATCATATTTTCTGAAAAATCCCATCACCAGGATTTCTTTTCCTGGGAAGCTGAGAAACCTCAGAGAAAAATGAAAACAAAAATTGTCTCATTTTGCTTCTCCTGTGTTTTGCTGCTTTGGAATGTGGTCTGGAGATTGTTTACCAACAGGTGCATGTTTGATTAGTTTCATGTGAATTGTTTTTACTTAATGACCAATCACTGTCCAGCTGTGTTGGGACTCTGGAAGGGGTCATGAGTTTTCATTATCATTCTTTCTAACCTTTCTGTCTGTATCCTTTCTCTATTCTTTAGTATAGTTTAGTATAACATTCTTTAATATTATATATAACATAAAATAATAAATTAGCCTTCTAAGAACAAGGGGTCAGATTCATTCCTTCCTCCTCTATCCAGAGACCCCAAAAATACCACAGTTTTGCTGAGAAATTCTCTTGCTGTGAAATAGAATGTTCTTGTATCCCTTGGCAGGTATGAGGAATCGAACTCCAGGCAATCCCTTAACTCTAAGTAGCAGTCTCTAGGCTGGGTGGTCATACTGGGGGAGCATCTCAGGGAACAGTGTCAGGCAGTGCCTGAGAGATTGTGCTTTTGAGGGAAGGGGAAAGCATAGGGATTTGTGTTCAAAATTTATCATTTCACACATCAGATTCATTAATTATTCCTTTCTGTGTGCCATGGCTTAATCCCAGAATCTTCAAATTCTGCTGTATAAGAACATCTTTCTGGAATTAGAGTAAGTACCCCCATTTCAACTTGGGAAACTGTTCCCATAACACCAGAGCTAAGTGATGTTCTGATAGTCCTTACTTGGCACTTACAAACTAAAAGAGCAATAAGAGGAGAAGAATACTGCTGCAGACAAGGAAGTCACCCATGAGGTAGCTGAGCTTTCAAAAACAAGAATAAATTTGTGTTTGTTCTCTCCTCTTTTAAAATAAAATAAACATGTATGTATTATGAAAAATACAATCTCTTACAGCTCTAGTATTTGCCCAGATAGGTGATTGCCCCAAAAGTATGCACTGGGAGGACATTTCTGACAAGAGTGGTGAGGCCAGCACAGTGTAATCCACTGTGGAGCTGTGCCCTCTGCAGTGATTTCCTAGGCACCACTTGACAGCAGCTGCTGTGGGGCTGTTCCTCCTGGGAACAGCATCCTGGCAGAGTGTGCTGGGGTAAGCCCACCATGGCAAAATTGTACTCCTTTTAGCAATATAAACCAGCAGGTACAACTGGCCATGTGATGAGTAATAAGCTGCAACTGCACAGTGTGAGCCCTGCAGACAGAGAGTAGAAATAAAGAAGTCAGAACAAAGGAGATTTGTGACTCACAAATTTGCTGCAGCAGCCACCCTGGCCTACTACTGGACTTCATTGATGTTTCAAACCTGACCTCAAGTCAGGGCATAAGGGGAACTATCCTTGGCAGCTCCCTTCATTTAGAACTACTGCAAGAAAAGAAGGAATGAGAGCTGCCTTTGTTTGTTATTTTTAAAATCTGACTCCCTGTTGCAAGGCAGTAAGATGTGCAAATGGCTCTTGCACCTGGCAAGTTACCATCAGCAATTATTGCAACACTTAGTGTCTTTCTGCCACCAGCAGAAATCTCTTTGCTCCCTTTCATGTCAGAGATTTCATTGTTCTTATGGGGATGGTAAAATTAAAGCCACAAGATTTACTGCTCTAATTCTCTTTTGTTGGCAACAAAAGGGAGAGACAGGGAAGGATGATACATGTAGCTGGATTTTGTGTTGTTGGGTTTTTTCTCTTTTACTGACCAACAAAAATGACTGACAAAAACTTTGTTTAAATTCATCAAACAATTCCATTAGCAACTGTATTAAAGACTACTATTTAGACATAGGAATCTTGTTATCAAGAAAAAAATAGCTGTGACTGCATTTCACTCTCATATGTTTGAAAATCTTGACATCTGAGCAGGCTGTACTTTATATATTTCTTCACGTTTCTTTCAGTACAGATGTTTTCTAGTTTTAGATGTCATTAATGTGGTGTAAATGTCAAGAACATAGCTTTTGACAAATATATCAAAAATGCTGTTTATGATAAATGTGTGTATGTGAGGCAAATGGTGTTTGATAGGAACTGAGTTTTCATTTGTAGCCCTTCCATTATTGCTCTTTTTGTGACCTGAGATGATTTTCCAAATCAGACTTTTTTGGGGGGGACATCTGTGAACACAAGTGCAGTTCCCATGTTCTAAACCAGCACCTGACTGTCAGCTGTTAAAATCCGAGCTCTTGGCTCTCTGTTCAGTGGAGAGAATTGAGGACAATCAAGTAAGGGCAATTCACCAAATGCCTCATGGAAGGAGGTGAACTGCTCCAGGAGCTCAGAGTGGCTGCTTTGCACCTCCTGCTCCAGAGCTTGCCCACTGAGGTGAAAAGGAGAAGGATTCATTTGTAACTTCTCAACAGTATTTCTTAGACACCCTGGACATCATATGAGCCATGCTCAGTGATGTGGGAGATCATTTCTCTGAAGCTGCAGCCTTGGCTTTTTCAAAAACAAGCTTCTGCTCTGGCTAAAATTCATGCACATTCAAAAATAAGCTTCAATTACAGCCCTGTTGAGCCTTAATTTCTCTCTCAATGAAATAACTCTTCATCAGACCTGCATGTTTTCAGTATTAACAGATAGGCTGTATTAATGGATGCTCCAGGTAATCAAGACAATGAGATTTCATTACCTGACCAGTCTTGCTAGAATTTGTGGAATATCATACTTTTTCTTGCTTCAAGGGTTGGTCCCTTTCGTTTGCCAGCTACAGGCCCCAGCGTGCTTGTTCTGTGGACAAATTGATAAATTAGTCAGGTGCCGAAAGGGAGTCATTTGACTCACCTGAAATGAGCAGCAATGGGATGAAAATACATTACCTCTGTCCCACTGGATAAGCCTCAGATTGTATTGAAATAGAATTAGGCCGAGGGAGTCAATGTAGTGGATAATAATGAAATGTTTAATGTGGATTAGCTGCATATAAAATTAATACATTAGAATGAATTGCTGAAGAAATGAAACTGTATCAGACCTTTATCCTGTCTCCAATATTAGACTTAAAACTGCTGCAGTCTTCTGTTTGTAGAAGAGCATAAGAAAAGCTATTGAATTTGTGTTCTTTATTTGGATGAAAGGACCTGGTACAGTATAAAGTATTATAAATAAATATGTATATACCAGAGCTGTCAAATCAGGATCCAACAGGACCAATGCTAATATATTTGGGTCTGAACCAGATCTGAGAGGTTGCAGACAAGAATCTAAAGCTAAAACTCCTTAATCACCTGTGTGGGCTTTTTTCTTCTGGGAGTTAAATCTAAATATAATATTTGTTTTGAACCATTCAGAGGCGAGTTGAAATGTTGCTTTAATCTTAATAGGTTTAATACAAAATGGGCAAGCTTTCCAAACTAATTGGCAAATACAGTCTTTGACTGTGAGGTATGGAAGGGCTGCAGAATTAGCTGAGACAAAACTTGAAAGTATTCATCTGTAATCTAGGAGGCCCTGGGGTTTTTCTAATTGTTAAATCTTTCTTGTTGCATCCTCTGTTCCAGGTTCTTTTCTGTTTCTCAATGCATCAGAGAGGCCGAGCCCCACCATCCTGAGCCCTTGGCTGAGGAGCAACAGCGACCAATGTGTAGTTCAAGTGGCTGTGTACAAGTTTTACCAGCAGAGTGGAGAATACATTGCTCGTGTCCATCCCATTGATGAGAGCAGCAGCGAAACCCTGTCAGAGGAGAGGCCAGAGAAACACGGGTGAGTCTCATCCCCTCGTTTGACTCCCAGCTTCAACTGAGAAAAATCACTCGATTGTGTAGCAGTAGAGCCACAAAATGCATGCTGCTCATCTGAGGGGAGCAGGACATGCCACTGAGGAGATGCTTGTCTTGCATGGGTCTAAAATGTCATAGAAGGTAGAGGTTGGTGCTTATTTTATTATACAAAGCATTAGCAAACTTCCTGATCCAGGTAATTGAGTCTCTAAATCAACACCACATTTATTCCCAGTGCATGCATGTACAGATAGAGTGTGGATTCTCATCCTCAGGTTGAAGCTTTTCTGTTCTAATTCTCTCTCTGTGATTGCTTTTTACTACTTCTTAACCCACGTATACCATTGGGCTTAGAATATCTACTGAGTCTCTGCAGTTTCATGTGCCTGCATACATTTTCAGTTTTGTCTTCACTTCTGGTTTTTTTTTGCCCATAAAGCTGTTCAGAACTACTGGCAGGGGAGGAAAGCTTTTGATCTTTCAAGGGTGCAACTGTTTGAAATGTTTTATCCTCTTTGTGCAGTTAATCTTGATGATGTTTTAATTTGTCAGACTTCCTGTGTATTCTTTTAAATTTTTGTTAGCAGCAAAACAGCAGGAGATGAACACAGTAAATATTTCAAGATGCTGTAGGAGTAGAGTAACTCGGAATTTAATTTGGATATATGTGAGGCTAATGTTCTACCTGCTCTATATACCAACTATTTAAAATTTTTATTTCTTACCTTTGTTGTGAAATGTGTTAAGAAGCATAATTTTTACCAAACATCTCAAATGTTCTTTGTTTTGATGTGATAGATTAGAGAGCTGCTAATAGCAAATCCTGCTGGCTTGTCCTCGTAACAAGATGTGATTATCTGATTACTGTCTACAGCAAATTCTGTATCTTCCAGTAGCAAAAGGAGAATGTGCAATAAAAAGCCTTGCAGGAGATAACCTAACTCATAGAAACAGTTTGAATAGTTGTAATTCTCATATAACACATGGCCTATAAAAGTGAGGAGGAGAGCTTGTGTGTGGATCTAGATCATACTTAGTTCCAGCAACATCATCCAAATTGTAAATTGCTGTTGATGTCTGGGGAGAGGTAATTAGAGGAGCCACAGCAGCTGTCTTCTTCCTTAGCTCTTTGCAAATGCTGTGTTCTGTGTCACAGCTAATAAACATGCTTTGTGCAAAGTGCCTCCTGCGTTGGCACTGCCTCTGCTCCTTGGCACTCCCAGGGAATATTGCTGTGTGTAAAACGCTCAGCATGGAGGAGCTGTGGCTCGGATCTGTGGGTGGGCAGAACTCCCTGGGAGCACAGGCAAGTGCCAAATGTAAGGAGCCTTGGAGGGAAGGCAAAGATTGCTTTAAGTACAGTAACAAATTCCTGCCTTTGCCATCTGCTGGGGATAGCATGGATGACTCAGCTGTGTGTTGCAGATGGAGATCGTCACCACAGTAAAGAGGGTTTGTGCTTTTGCAGAAGGTGGCTTTGGTTATAGCTTGACTGTCCCATATGCTTGCCAGAAGTGCAGCTTGCTCCCCAGCAGCATCTCTGTGGGGTGTGGAGGGCTAAGGATGTGCCTGTGGCTTTCATGGGTTTGTATGTCTGACTCCTTGGTACTCCACGTGCTGGAAAACTCCAGTTGGAGCCACCAGCTGGTTCATTTTCCCCTCCTCCTTTGGTCCTGTCCCTTCACTGCAAGAGGCAGTAACTTTCCTCTCAGCTCAGCAGTGCAGAAAAACTCTGCTACTGTGCCCACATAAATGTCACATGGGGATGGTTAAATAGCTTCTCACAGCCACAGATGAGAAGGTAGCAATTTGTCACCATTTGCCCTGAGTCTTCATTCCAGAATTTGAGTGCCCTCCTTTGTTTGGAGGGATAATATTAGCTATTCCAGCTCTGATAACAAAACATGTAAATCTCACTTTTTAAAGCATCTTTTTTCCTTTAAATAGGAATCCAGTATAGTTGATCGAAAGTCAAGAATAATTCAATGGAGTTCTTAAATGAACTAGTAATCCTACAGTGGAAATCTGTTCTGTTCAATATTTTATTTTGTCTTGGAAATTGCAAACAATTGTGTTCTTTTATAATGAGTTCTTTGACCATGTTATAACCAAATAATTTCTAAAATTCTATAAGGATTTTAGCTCTAGGCACAAAGTAATTGAATTCCCCAATGATGAGTCTGTGCTAGAAATAAAAACACTTTAAAGTTTCACAGCTGACACTTCTTTGCTTCTATGTGCTTTATATATTGCTTTGCAAACCAGAGGTGTGAAGTGTGTGACTTTGTATGTGCAGTAGTGAGTCCATGCCATTGCCTGAGATCAAGCTCATAGCAGGAAGAATCTGTTTTATTGAAAAAAATGCATATTAAGGATGATAAAGCAATAAGTTAATTCCAAGGTGGATTTTCTCAGATCTTGAACTATGCACAGCACTAATATCTTCTTTCCCTTTTTTTCCGCCTTTTTAAATTGTATAACCCAAATTACATCTATTAATATCTTACAAGGTCTTCACAGTTCATCTACATTTACAAGAGAAAAAAGCAGATGCTGTCAGGTATTACTATTTCATTCAGGGGGAAACCAGGCAAGCCAAGGTTTTGGATGACAGCACTAGAGGCTGATTTTAAGTAGAATATAGGTAAAGCTATGAAATTGTATTAGGTAAATACAGCATGGGCCCCAAGTATTTATTTCTTGCCAGAGCTCACCCATGTTGTCTTTGTGTGTAAATTACTGGGTGTGATTATGCATGAAGACTCAAAGCAGAACTATGGATTTTCTGTTTGCTCCTCTGGTTTCATTCTTTAGGAAAAAACAAACCTGTGAACTAGAGTTGTATGAGTTCCATAATAAGCCAGAGGGGTTACAAAAATGGTTGTTTGGAAGACACCTGTTTGTTTTGTTTTCTTAGCTGACATATTTCCCTGCAGCTGATGTATTGCACGCAGGAAGAAAGGTGGCTGAGCATCACACTGCAGTAGGGTGGGGCAATGGAGCACACACCAGGAGCAGAATGGCAGAGGTGATGGCTGGGAATGGTTTCTGAGGGATGAACACCAGAGGCTGGCAAAGGGATTTTTGTGGTACACAGAAACTCTGCCAAATACAGCCATAACTTTATATACAATATTTACAAGAAAGCTTCCTACTCAGAAGGTAACTATGTCCTTGTTTATCACCAGCAGAATTGTATACTTTTTGAAATTATCATTGTCTTTAAAGAGTTAATAAGGTCTTACTCCAGTTTAACATGTGGATTTTGGAGCACCTTTGGTTAGACCTTCCTAACTTAACTCCTAAACAATCAGTAGGACTCCTCTGTGGGGAACAATACATCACTGTGTTCTATCAGAGTTAGTTTTGTTGCATGGCAGTGTTTCTGGCTGCTGTGAGTCTGTGGATGTTTTTGATGTGGTTAGTCTCTTCTGACATCTCTTGCAGTTCTGCTGGGTTTTACAAGCACCCGCAGATGATACAGGGAGAGAAGCAGAGCACGGCTATTGATCCTTTGTAATGGCAAAAGAGTTGTTATAATTCCTGCCATGGAGCACAGCACTCTCTGATTTATCTCAAATGACACCAAATGTGGCTACAATCTTTTGCTATTTTTCTGTTCCCATGGTGCTGTATGCAATCCTTTCTTGCTATTTAATGGGGTTCCCATTTTCTATTTCGGTAGGTGAGAAGACATCAAGTATGTTTATGTTGCATATTGGTAATTTAGCAAAGCAGAATTGCTGCCACAGTTTGAATGTTGACTTCTGGGTGCTTGTCAGACTGTCGTTGTGCCCAATGATTTAATTTCACCTCTCATCTTTTTTTTCCCATGTGTTACATTCATAATTATGAAGCAAGTAAGGTTTTAAGTGTGCTTAGTAGAGTGGGGAGAACACAAAGGAAATCAAGGAAATCTTGTCAGCAAAGTTAGAGTTTGTAATAAAGGATTGATTTTCATTCATTTTGATCTGTGTGTTTGGGAGAAATTAGAATTGGGCAAGGACAAATTTATCATGTTTATTTTAATTACCATTATTACTTAACACCTCTACTTGCACTATTAATGGTGAGCTGCAGTATTATATACTATATATCAATCAAACTTTTTATAAAAACGTAGCAAATGACACTTAATTTCAATGTGGTCTTTTATTGTTGACCTCCCTCATCACCAAGCTTGAGATTGATCTGAAGACTTTTGTGTAAGTATGTGAAGTTGAAGGTGTTTCTTAAATAAAACATGAAATGTGAACATGCATGCATGAGAAAGGAAGTCATAAAACACTAATACTTCATATAGGCAGTACTTCAGTAGGTGTATGAATACTGGTGCACAGAGCACTTCAAACAGAGAAAGTTCACCTGGTTCCGAAGGCTGCTGCAAATCATAATAGGCTATTCCCTTTCTGGCATCTACAACTTCACTTAAGATTGATTGCATTGATAGATGTCAAGGAAAATATATGAAGGAATCAGTAGCATCTGTCACATTTGACCTTGGGGCTTGAAATGTGAAGGTTATTTCTTGTACTAGTCTTGTTCTTTTTCTTCCTTTCTTACCAGTAGCTTCAGTAGCCTGTCTCAGAGACCAGAGACTTAATAGAATGATTATTTTGTTGTTTTTTATATTCTTTTTGTGAGGATGGGGGATGTTTGTTTGTTTTTTTCCCCTTCTTGAAAAAACTTCACTAAATGCAAGCCTCTGTTTTGCTAGTGCCTGGGCTCACATAAAAAGAATGAGGACCAAAGTCTTAGTGCATATTTGGGGCATTTAAACTTATTTTAAAGCATCAAAATGTCTCAAAATTTACAGGATATTTTTAGTCTTGGGGAATTCTAAATCAGGAGTTTAAGTGATTCAGTTCAAACTATGCATTTGAGAAATTCAGGTAATCCAGGAAAATAATTTGGATTTATGGATTCGTTAGAAACTAAGCTCTCTCACCCTGATGGCCAGGCACCATTAATCCTTAATTTTAG